TAAAAAGCCCAGTATGTTGCTTTTTTTTTCCAATTTCACCTCTTGGGACACTTTTGTTAATGCAAACTAATCTATTTTGGTGTGGATCATCAAAATAAATGGTCCTTCTAATAATAATAATAATACATTTTATTTAACAGCGCCTTTCTGGACACTCAAGGACACTTTACAGAAAATACAAAAAATAAAAAGAAAGATGAAAATACAAAAATACAAATACAGGAACATAAAAACAATTATGGATAGGGTAAAGAGCAGTGTATTCACAGATAAGCGAGCTGGAACAGATGGGTTTTGAGTCTGGCTTTGAATACATTAAATTGAATGGCTTTTTTACATTAAATTGATTTCTGTCAACAGAAATCAATTTAATGTAAAAAAGAACAACACATACTAAATAGTATGGGTGGGTAATACATATAATTTTGATTTAAAAAAACAAACATGATTTTGCATCTGACCAGCAGGGGGATATCACTTCCCACACATTTCTTCCACTGTGAGAAAATCAATAGTGACATGACCAGTTAGCAAGACAAAGTTAATGAATAGCCTTAAAAAAATGTGGGCCTGAGACATATTTAGGAGACTAATAGTGATAATGACACATCTCCCTTGTGGATCACTATATTTCCCCTTCTTTTCAACCATGCCAAAACAAAATGGCATGGTTAGGAAAACATGGTTGAAAATAAGTAAATATTGTTGAGGTGATTCAGTCAAATAGAGCCACCTCAGCACCACACTGATAAACTGATTTAGGGTGTAATCACACTTGCCACATTTATTGTGCTTCATATGGACCAGTGATTATTACCTCCCTTGTTACAGGCTTTTTTCTTAAGCTGTGAATACCTTCCTGATCTGGACCAAACAACTGGGCAGAGAAACAAAATGTGACCTGACCTTGGTCCATAATGAGAACCCATAACAGGGTGTTTTGTGACAGTGAATCTTCTACTGATATACAGAATATAGTGAACACTCATATAAGGAATGATCTAATTAACAATGGCAGTGTCTTCATTCAGGGAGGTGGGAGAGCAGAGCTTCTTTGCCACATTCAGCTTGTAGCATGAACCACACCAAACAAAGAAAAAGAAAAAACCTTTTTAAAAGTCCACCAAAATCATATGTCACCACAGTAATATCAATAATGTTTAAATGTATTAACAGAATGTATCTGTTGTATTAAGAATATATGGTAGTTCAGTAATGGAAACGTAATGCAGCTTGAAAGAGGTTAACTCAATTTCTGAGCATTCCAAGCTGTTCTAGATCACTCTTATATGTCTTCTTGACCTACAAACGGATTTGCTGTAGTTCCTGTTTTCTTCCTGTCACAGTTTCATCACAGCTAGGCCCTGTAAGTGTGCTAAGCACTTGCTCCTAAGAGTTAATGCCAATTAGCTGTTGTTTATGCATGAGTGTAAGCATGGTACACAGCAGCCAAGTGATCTAAGCTTTTTTTCTGGACTACTCACCTTGTGCAGACAAATCTGATTTGGCTCCTAAATCCCCAAGCAATGAATGAGCAATGAATGAATCTATCTATCTATCTATCTATCTATCTATCT